AAGATATTTCTTTTGAATCCTAGAGGACTTGAGATCTTCCGCCTTGACAACCATACAACTCATACGACACACATCTTTTGACTTAGCCTACTTCATTACATGGAACCTAAAATGATATCCCGATTCAAATGATAATCTATCTCAGAGCCTAAGTATCAATGCTACCATCATCATTCAACAAAATTTAGTATAAAACTCACAAGCCACAGGTTCATGCTAAAATGAACATAACATTCGAATAGATGTTCTTCTTCATGTGAGGCCACACAGTCAATAAGAGATCCTATGCATGGTTTGTCCAGAATATCGAAATTAAACACCTTACCATTTAACACTCTTTGTGTTTTTAGAACAAACACTCGCTCCTCAATATTCAACACTTTGTCACCCTTTCCACTTTTTAATAGACGAACCAGGTCCTTCCACATAGTTAGACCCAGGTTTCACTAACTCTTCCATTGGTTCTACTATGTCTTGCATCGATTCCTTATTATATCTCTACTTGCTCTTTGTTACACCTTTTGATTTTGATTCATGTGACTTCTTATTTTTCCAATCTATAACCTTTCTAATTTGTCACCACCCGTACTGTATCCTTTGATTTGGTGGAGCTATTGTCTAGTTACTGTGATATGTCGACCAGGTTCACTTTTTATGCTTATTCTGAGTTGTTTGTGCCTTATTGGAAACCATGGAATCATGCATCAGTTTTTTTCTAAGCTCCGCGAGTGGAATAACCGTAGAAAAATTTCAGACGGACACACTCGATCATTTTTCCTTTTTCTTTTTCACACCTTAAGATTTTCAAGGGAGTTAAATTCTTAGATCCATTTTGTTGCTATGAATTTTTTTATGGTAAAGAAGACTAAGAAATGATTTCAAAGGCAATGAGTTCTTGCTCACCTGCTCCTTGTCTAATGTTTTGTTTTTAGACTAAAATAGCAACATCTTCATCTTCCACTATGCCATATTAAACAAAATCGAGTTGTGTGTAAGTGTTTGGGATATCATGAAACAATGGTTCCCCATATTCAACAAGATAAATGATTTTCACTCCATATCTGAGAATGAAGGTTGAATATCTCCCTTCATGTTAGTTAGGTTTTGCACGTCCCATTTTATGTTAGCTGTTAAGATATTAAACTCTGCTCATTTATCTACTAGAAGATCTCAATCAAATAGTTTTTCAAACATAGTTGATGATACAGGGAAAGGTTGGAATGATACATTTCAATCTTTTGGGTTGTTTCTCGGCAGGAGGTTGGGAAACAGGTTGTGTGTCTGAACAAGTAGAGTCATTGAGGTAAGTCTCTAGGGAAGGATTTAGAACAAGGGAGGTTTGTCAATTGGAAGGGGAGTTCAACTGTTGGGTTCTACAATTTGAGAAGTAACACTTTAATGGTGAGAGTAGTTTACTCACCTGTTTCTCTCACTCCTAAAGTGGAAATAGAGAGTATCTCATGTAATGTTGAAGTATTGAACTCAATGGGATTTAATGTTTCGATTTCTAGAGACATGGGTTCTTTAGGAGAAAAGGAATGGGATTTTGACATAGTTAAGTAAATTGAAGGATGTTTTGGAAAATGTTAGAATAAGAATATCTTTTTTTTAATGAAAGGGTTTATAGAAGTGCTCTGATTGCAGAACATAGGTGACCTTTGGGTTTTGAATAATAAAATATGTTACATTAAGAGACATAGGCACGTAGCAAGTGAGATTTACTTTTTCTATATTTCGTACATAGTACGAATATACTAACCTTTGAGTAGAGACCATGTCCCTCTTTTTTTTCATACATCAACTACCCTGACTTTGATGTGTCTTCTGCTTCTCTCTAGGTAAGTCACCATATGTGTATATGTGCATAATGTTCTGAATTAAATTCTTAGATGAGTGCAATATAAAAGCAAGCAATTTAACTTACATTCTACTCGTAGTCTGTAAAGGTTTTGCGTGTATTTAGATAAAGATATTGGTTTGGTTTGAGCAGCCCTAGCGTCAACATTCTTTTGAATAAATGATCTTTACTTAGAGATTTGGTGAAGACGTCAGCTACTTGGTCTTCCGTCTTGCAAAAATTCATGATCATATTTCCTTTGTCAACATTGTCTCTCAAGAAGTGATGTCTCATATGAATATGTTTTGTCCTCTTATATTGTACTATATTTTTAGCCATATTCAAAGCACTAGTATTATCATACATGAGGGAAATTGTATCACTGAGTACCAAAAAAAATTAAGTTACTTCTTTATCCATAGGAGTTGTGCACAACATGACATAAAGTTCAGCTATGGATAATGCCATTGAGTTTTGCTTCTTCATTCCCGAAGAGATTAATGATGATCAAAGAAGTGATCCATACAAAAGGCACTTATTTTATCAAACAAGTATCCTACTTTGTCCTCATTACCATATCCAATTAGATCAAATGAGTTACATAAAGGATAGTATAGGACCAAGTCTTGATTTCCTCTGTGATATCTCAAAAAAGGCTTGGTTGCCTTCAAATGATATTCCTTACAACACTCCTAGAATCTTACACATATTCCCATGCTAAACACCATATCATACTTACTTGTAGTCAAGTAGATACATGGTTTCATTTACTGCAAACCTTGCTTCATTGCTATCAAGTTTTGATAATATTCCCCTAGGTATGTCAATTGTTTTTGCCTCCACTATGTTGAACCTTTTTAGAAACTCCTTGATATAATTTTATTTTTGATAAATAGAAGTGTCATTTGCTGACTCCTTGATTTGTAACCCTAAGAACAAGTTAAGCTCCCCCATCATAATCATTTCAAATTCACTTTCCATTAAGGTAGCAAAGTTCTTTAATAATGCATCTAAGGTTGCACCAAATATAATGTCATCAATATATACTTGGAAAATGACAAGTTCCTTCCCTCTTGATTTTAGAATCAAGGTTTCATCAATCTTTCTTATCTTGAAGCCATTTTCAAGAAGAAACTTTGATAATATTGCATATCATGCCCTTGGTTCCTGCTTCATCCCATAAAAATCCTTATCAAATCTAAGCACATGATTTTGTAGATTAATGTCTTAGAAACTAGGAGGTTGCTTAACATATACTTCTTCTTTCAAGTACCAATTCAGGAAGGTACTTTTTACATCCACGTGAATTAGATTAAAGCCCATGTATGAGGTAAAAGCAATTAGAATTATGATAACCTCCATCATGGTGACAAGAGCAAATGTTTCATCATAATTAAATCCTTCTTCTTGAATATAGTCCTTCACTACTAGTCTTGATGTGTTCCTTGTGATGACTTCGTTGTCATTGCATTTTTTTAATACCCGCCTAGTTTAGACTTTTGTCTACTGGTGCAGGACAGGTGCCACACTTGATTTCTTTCAAAAGTGATGAAGCTCATCCTACATTGATTTGATCCAGTCAGCATTCTTCAAGTCCTCCTTCATTCTTTTGCATTCAATGGTGGAGATGAATGACAAGAAATCCATGAGATTTCTTGTTTAAGACCTGTGTGCATCTCAAAATTCAATGAAGAGACAAGATTGTCCATTATATGAGATGGCTAATGTTCCTTGCAATCCTCTTTGAAGACTCATGGGCTGAATTTGCAACTTATTCATCATCCTTAGAGTAAGTTTCCTCAATTTCACCTGATCTCCAGTATTTTTCTTGTTTGATTGACTAAGTCCCTCTTCGGAGTCAGGATTTTCTTTACTGGAGACAGTTCACTATTTATGGTTTCTAGAAGAAGGCTGTCTCTTTTCACCTGAAGTAGGTCTTCAATTTCAAACTCATCTCTAATCTTTATATTGTACATTTCACCATTTATCGAAGATAACATGAACACTTTCCTCAATGCATAAAGTTTTATTGTAGAAGACTATATATGTCATAACTGTTGAGGAGTACACCACGAAGATCATCACATTTAGGATTGAACTTTCCTAGATCATCTTTGCCATTGTTGAGAACGATTAATTTGCAACCCAAAACCATAACATAATTAAGCTTAGGCTTTCTTATGTAAAGAAATTCATAGGTTACTTTTTTAGAACAGATCTAATAAGACACATGTTGGTTACATAGGAGGTTGTGTTCACCACCTCTATCAGAAATTCATTGCAATAATAGAATCAATTAGTATAATCCTTGCAATATCCACCGGCATTCTATTCTTCCTCTCGACTACCCGTTTTTTTGAGGGGTTCTCGGAGCTGGTCCTAGCCATTTTGAAATCTAGCTTTATTTGAACCATTTTGGCAAAAATGATCAAGAATTTAGGTTTTTCATCCTTGCTCCTCAGAAAAATTGTCCTGATGAATCTTGAGTAATTATTAACTATCATAAGTGTGTACTTCTTTCTACATCTACTCTAAAATTCTTACAGGTATTAGTAGATTAATATGAAGAAGATTCGGTGTCATGGTTGTTCTTACACCTCTCTGACACATGCATCTCAAATCCTTTTATCTCTAAATATTAGTTTCGTAGACCATTAACAAGGTCCTCGGAAACACGTTTTCTTAGAAGTGAGGCACACACATGGCCTAACCTTCTATGCCACATATTAACATTGTTACTTTGATCATTGATACACATAAAATTATTTCCTCGTATTGGGTCCAAATCAGCTAGGCACATGTTCTTGAGGCTTTTACTTATAAATATGACCTCACAAGAGGTTAAATGTGTGACAATACATTTGTTAGACAAGAATATAACCTCATTTACCTTGTCGCAGTTTTGAGATACATTCGGCAAATTATACTTCTACCTATTATCATAGTGCACGTCATATACGGAATGCTCCACAAATCTTCCAATTTTCCCAAAACAAAGAATGTAACCCTTTTTCCCTCACCAAATGACACACCACCACCTTGATGTGATTCAAGAGAAAGGAAATTGTGTGTTTCTCTAGTCATAAGCTTGAAACATTAGTTTTCCAAAAACAACTATTGTGAAACCGCTATAAGAAAACATATGTAAAACCGCTATAAGAAAAAGGAAAAATTTCGTATTGTGTGGGTTCATACCTTTTATCTAAAGGGTCAACATCATGGGAGGTGATAGTCAAGCAAGTATTACGGATGGTAAAGAAGATTCTCAAGGAATGACAATGGCTTTAAGAGAGGGATTTACAAGTACCTGCTATCATGGAAAAAGAAAATTTCAACATTAAAGAAATGTATTAGAAAAGGGGAGTACAACAAGTTCTCATGGAGAAGATTGACTTGCAACAATCTAGGCAATCCTAAATGGGTATTTTCACACTATATAGCTATACACGAAAGACAAACTAAGCAACATGGGAAATATCGATGAAGTTGTATATTCATTATGCAAGGAAGAAATTGAAACACATTAGCACCTGTTTTTCACCTTTTCACTATCATAACAAATATAGAAAAATATGCTTAGTTGGTAACTCATCACAATGGGTAGCACTAGATGGAATGAGGAAATGGAATAATCCACAGACCATACTACTAGAAAATCTACCATGCAGATGTACACAAAATTGCCTAAGCAGCAGCAGTAGGTCATATCTGGCAAGAGATGAGGCATGTGTATATTCTAATATAAGGTGAGGACTATATACAAGATCAACTAACTAATTATTAAAGATATGCATCATAGATCTGGCATGATGCCTAGGCTAATAGGATATATGCATAGTCTTAATTTTTATCTTTAGAATAGTATACAAGTGCAAAGAAGATTTGGATCTGAAATTGGAACATGTCTGTATACAAAGTTCCAAGCTGTACAAAATAGCACATCTGGTAATTAATAAGATTTACAGTTACCAAAAAATTGTATTTGGATTGGGTAAATCCATTTTAATCTCCTAAGATAAATTCAATGTAATTTCTATATTTGAGAATCAATTAATCAAATTTAGCTTATTATAGGCGCATGAGCTTTTCACACGATGTCTAATCTAATTCTGAAATCAATATTCAATTTTTGAATTTAGGGGCTCAGGATTGTCTTTATGAGTCGTTTTACTAGAGTTTATACATAACTATAGGTGTTTACATACCTCAAGCTTCTAGAATGAGTTTCATGGTTAAATCAACAAAAAGTTCATCTTGAACTCTAAACACCTCCACCGGATTTCACATCTACAAAAAGGAAAGAGAAAGGTCAACGATAGTTGGGACTGGATAAAAAATAATTTCTATATACCTTTGTGAGCTGATATATACTACTTTTCCATGGATGAAGAATGTTAGGGACTTAAGGATGAAGCAACACAAAATAAAGGGTGAAGGGAGCGAGAAACATAGAAGCGGAGGAGTACAAGAGAGTGAGAAATGGAGAGTTTTCTTTAGAAAACCCTATTTTAAGGAATGGCAAGTTCTTGAACATCAAGACCAAGATGAGTTTTCCTATTATTTTCTTGTTTGGGCTATATGTCATTTGGTGTAAATTGGGCTATTATTTGGCCTGTTTTGTGTGATACTTCTTTATGATAAATAAATGGGCCATTGGTCCATAAATTTTTTTAAAATAATAATAAAATATAGGTTTTGATAGACTCGTATACTCATATAGAGTATATTTTTAATAAAATATGAGAGTTCCAAGGCTATATTTTTTAACAGTTCATGGAATGAATACTGGGCTTTCAAGGTAGATTGTGATTACTCTTTTAAACTTTTTTCAGGAGATGGTTTATTGGTTTATTTGGTGTTTAAATTAGTGGATTATTTATGTGCTATATAATTAGGAAATATATACTAGATGTTATGTGACTTGAATTGCATATGTTTTGTTGCGTCACTCTTATTCTTGTGTTATATCGTATTTTGATGGGGTTAGTGGCCTAAGGACACTATTTAAAGAGAGATATACTTTCTTAAGTAGAACATGGTCATTCTTCTTTATTGCGATCAAGCATACATATTCATTTGTCATGAATCACGAAAATAGTATGATAGACAGAATATAGTTATGAACCTAAATGCAAAAATGGTTACCAAAAATTAATATTATGATATCGAGGTTGACTTCCAGCAAGTTAAATCACGCATACCTGAGGGAGAATTTCTGTGATGGGTATATGGACCTGTAAGTACCCCATGGGCCATTTTCTTAAATCCCAGCATGCTACTACAGGGAGCAGATGTATACTGATAGGATGATACAACCACTACATCATGTCACACCTCATTTTTATTTGATTTTACATATGTTGTTGATTGGGTAATGTAATTTTCTTGTCTCTCGCCATATCTCATTAACTGCTTATAAGTTGAGGACTTATTTGGGGTAGATTTTATACTATATATGCTAATATAGTCAGACTTCAACTTTATCGGCCAATGATACCTTCTAATACACGTGTTCCCGTTCAATTACAATTATTGTATCTTTTGATGCATATTCTACTTTCAGTTCCAGTATGTCTTCTTGATTCGTGCCAAGTGCATTTATTTTTGGGTGTTCGTGTGAGCGATATGGAGATTCTCTATCTCCCTCTTAGTCACTCTTGTTCATGTGACACCAAATAATAAAGTTTTATTGTGGTGTTTTGCGTATTTTGTATTTATGAAAAGTTATATTATGACTTATTTCCTCCAATTTTTTCTTTTCCGCCTAATTAAGATTGGTTTGTCTTATCTATCGGAGGGATGGTGTAGGTATCATCATTACTTTAGTGATTTTGGATTGTGACAAGTACTTGGATCAAAACACTTAGGATTTGACCCCAATTAACATTTGGCTAAGTCTTCATTAATTGATGATCTAATTATTACAATAATTTAGAGTTGTATGATTTGTTTTTTCTAGGAGGTATTGGATTGATTGCTCTTTTACGAGCTTGAGTGGACTGGGATAGGTTGCTTAGATTTAAGCGGCTATGCTTCTGTGATTTATTGTTTACTTTAGTGGAGGATTCACTATGCACCAGGGTTCACTTTTGCGAGGATAGTCCACATCAATAACCTCGCACTTGTGAGGTTCCTTCCACTTCTATAAAAATTTTCCTGCTTTGCAAGCTCGCTAGTGTGAACATTATTTGATTTGTAGAAAATATGTAGCAGAATGGTATTTTTGTTCCCCAATCTAATTTCATAGTTTATAAGTCGATTTTTGGACACTGAGAGTTTGGTCTAGGTGATTTCAAAGGGGATTTTCATGATTTGATTAGGGGTTTAAAATGTAACTTAGTATTTTATACTTCCCTACTAATTCATCGTTCATTCCTATCTTTAGCAGGAAGACTTTTATTGGTTAATAATCTTGTAATCCATGCAAGGATTCTTGTCAAAGATCTATCTAATGCCAAAAAAATATTACAAAGAATAGAATCTATGTGCAAAAGGTTTCTATGGAATAGTGAATTACAAAATAAAGGGAAAGTACTCATATCTTGGGAAACAATTTGCTGCCCAAAGTCTTCTAGAGGACTCCATATCACTAATATATATGTGTGGAATGAGGCAACCATATTAAAAATATATGTGAAACAACTGTAAGAAAAAGGAAAAATTATGGATTGTGTGGGTTCATACCTTTTATCTAAAGGGTTAACATCATGGGATGTGGAAGTCAAGCAAGTATCATGGATTGTAAAGAAGATTCTCAAGGAAGGACAATGGCTTGAACAGAAGGATTTACAAGTACCTACAATCATGGATGAAGAAGAGTTCAACATCAAAGAAATGTATAATAAAAGGGGAGTACAACAAGTTCTCGTGGAGAAGACTGACTTGCAACAATTTGGGCAATCCTAAATGGTGTTTGCACTATATGTGGCTATACACCAAAGACAAATTGAGTAACTGGGGAATTATTGACGAAGTTTTATATTCATTATGCAAGGTAGAAACTGAAACACATCAGCATCGGTTATTAACCTATTCACTATCAAAAAAGATATGAAAAAATATGCTAAGTTTGTTACTCATAACAAGGGGTAGATGATATACCGTGTTTTCACGGTATTTTTAATGATTTTGCCTTAAGTTTAGTGTGTGTCCAGAAAACATTTTGTATTGATTTTTATGTAAGTTTCACTTTATTTGCAATAAATCTGTCTAAAGACGAACACGGAAGTTCTTGAGCAAGAAATGCAGAAAAGTTACCACCTACAGAGCTTGTGAAGGTCCGTAGGTGGCATCGTAGTGAAGCAAGTAAAGAAAGATGAGAAGTCTAACCTATGTGTGGGATTACGAAGTTCACGACGGATCGTCATAGCCACAAATGTCCGTCCTTCTTGTTCGTCGTGATGATCAGAGAGTAGTCCCAGTAACCAAATTCCAAGAAGTTCAAGTGTTATGGAACGAAGCCCCTCGACCGTCGTGCTTGGAACGGTCCATCATACCTATTCATCAAGGGTAATAAAGAAAGAAGTAGAAGGATTTGTAAAGTATATGATGACGGAGGCCAAATGCATTTTGACAGATTTTCAGCAATTAGAGTCCTTCTTTTATCAGGTTTTTGTTTTGTATCAATAGTTGGAAAAACCTCATTTTTGGGGTTAGACTCTCTTATACTTAGACTCTCTTATAGTTGTTAGACTCTCTTATAGTTAGACTTTTTGTTAGTAGACTTTTTTATATGAGACTTTTGATTGTTAAACTTTTGGAGAATTTTTAGTCCTCGATTAATTTCAGTAATTGATACACTTTTTCTGGAATAAATTGTTGGTCCATTTGTTGATTAATCAAGTGAACTTCTGGATTTTATTCTTTCTCATTAAAATAAGTGCATGAATTCTTATATTAAATACATGAATATTTTGATTATGATTATGGGTAACTAAACTCCTTAACAAGGGTTGTGGGAACCATGGGAGAATAATGAGGTAAAACCTAACTAAAATAACAATTCTAGAATATGCATGTATTATTAATTCTTTCGCTTAGAAGTCTTTTTAACAGATTGCCAATGTTAGAACTCACCTTAATGCTACTTGCCGGACCAAGGAGGTAGATAATGGGAAAAGAATTATCAACATAGATTTAGTGTATACTATCTAATAGGCTAGTATTTATTGGTACGAGGTAATAACTTAGTCAAATATTGAATACGACGCTTAATATGAGGTAAAGGTATGGGTTATTATAGCAACACATGTACCCAGACCAAGGTGCGGAGTGAAATTTTCTAGATGCCGGACCAAGGATTTAGAAATACATAACTTATCACTTTGCATGCAAGATACTAGGAAAGAATTGTAATAGTTAGAATTATCAAGTTAGAAACTTGTGGGGAACACTTAAAACCTAGTTACTTTTATTAATTGATTAAACTCCAAGATTTAAATTTGTTAGTCGTTTACTTTAATTTAGTTATTTATCTTCATTAATTTAGAAATAAAACCCCCCCTTTTTATTGTCTTTTGTTTTCTAAGGAAATAACTGACTAAATAATAGTAATAATAGATTAAAGTTAAGTCTGAACTATTTTCCTCGTGCGAACGATCCCAATCTCAATAGTTGGGTTCTTTACTTGATACGACCGTTTTACTTCTTATTTGAGAAGTAAGGTTGAGCATTATCAAATTTTGGCGCCACTGCCAGCGAAAGTAGTTTTTAGATTAACTTAAACTTATTACTACAATTTAGTCAATATTTTCTTGATTTTACTTTTCTATTGTTTTTTATTCTTTCAGAACTATCTTCCTTGTATGCCAAATACACGGAGAGGAAGAGAACCTTTGTTTCCCTACGATCACGAATTAGAGCGTACACTACGCAATATGAATCGAAACTTGGGTATTAATGATGATGATCCAAACCGGAACATCCAAACTCTGGTTAATGTTCATGGTCAATTATTACCAGATGATCCGGGTGAAAATCAATAAAGAGGACAGAATCCCGCTCCACACCCTCAAGAATACTATAGAGTCTATGATAATATAGCAGACTCTGATGGGCCACTTGTCTTGCCCCTCTACCACCAGGACACACCTTTGTGGTAACTAGTAGTCTGATGCAAATGATCACTACCAGAGGTTTGTTTTCAAAGCTACCTTTAGAGGACCCACATGCCCATATAGTTAAGGTAAGGATTGTGTGTAAAAGTTGTGTAGGGAGACCTGATTTGGATTTGGATATAATAGGGCTAAGAGTATTTCCTCTCTCACTGACGGGAGAGGATGATATTTGGTTAACTGAGCTCCCTTATAACTCAATTTTCACTTGGAACCAACTAAGGGGCGTTTTGTTATCACGCCACTACCCAGTCTCAAACAAAATAAACCAAAAAGATAGAGTGATGTAATAATATTTTACATGTTCACCAATTGACTTCAAATACCTGATCAAATATGGGATCATGTTTTATG